GTACAAATCTCCTGGAGTGAATTGTGCCTAGAATGATAAAGAGCATTAAATCATTATAGGAAAGTGTCATCAAAGATTGTCCTTTGACAAGTTGGCCAGCTTCATTAAATGGGTTAACATATATTCTGAATTAATCCTTTATAATTGAATCTAACATATAATAATCACCTTTTTAAAAGGAACAAGACCTAGCAGTCTGAACAAAGATGGCAAAGGGTGAAGAATAGATTCATCTACGGAGTTACTGGTTGTCTTCAGTGAAGTTTGATGGATTTTTCGCAACATGGAACTGTTGATGTACACGCTGCACATAACACAAAAACAATACAAATCCATCTCTCTCAATCCCCCAGGCCCACACAACATTGCATACATACTCATATACTTTTTCCATTAGTAGGATGGTAACATGACAGTTTCTAGTTATAGGAACATAGAAATTAAAACTACAAAATGAATACCTCATGTTCAAAACAATAGTATCCATGATTCCCAGCGCAGCAGGAGCATATTTACAGCACCCCTCAAGTCGAACTTTCTTTTCCCTCACTAGCGGCAAAAGACACCTAGCCCATTCATTTGGAATGCGGCCAATCTGCACAACATGTCTTCCACATTTTGTTACAATGCAAAACCAATCTAACCCATGTACTTTATAAGAAATTATAGCAGTTCAGATTCTGTTTACCTTTTGAATGACTAGCATTATATGCTAGTTTGCTACATCATACTTAACTAAGTATCTTATTATTTTTCATGTTCACTTCAACTTTCTATTTCCTTTAAATTAAACGTGATGCATTCACAATTAAACATGGAAACATCTACCTAGTGTAGCAAATAAATAACTGGTTACAATTCATATTTTCTTGAAATGAAATTTAATAGATGACCTCATACATTACCTCGCCATGAGCTTTTGTTGAAAATCGTACAATTTCTGAGCAAGCTGCTGCTGGCCGGCCACGGCCACCCCCAAACTTCCCAGGTGAGGGTGTCGTCGACTTCCTCTCAACCGGGAATGTGAAATTCACCTCATCACCGGGATTCAAGCTCCTTCCTTTACATGTTGACAGCCCCGCCACCTCAGCGGTTCCCACTAACCACCACTCACTCCCCATTTCTTTCCCCAACGTACTATTACCATTATCATTATCCGCGCCCTCAATTTTTCCACTCCTAGCGTTCAGGTTCCCATTTGAGTTCGAAGCCGAATTAGAATTCCCCACCCTTTTAGCATTGAATTCTAAATTCGACTCAACAGTTGGGGGTTTGGGATTCAAATTGCCGTTGGAGAGCCCAGTTTTTTTAAGGTATTCAGGTTTCTTGAACAGCCTCGGACTATCAAAAATAATGTTAATAGCAGCTGTAGGGTCGTTATTGGCCATGTGGAGGGCTCGGATGATGTCCATGTCGGAAAAATCCAGGCCGACGATCGATCTGACTGTTGAAATGACTTCATCGGTGCCTTTGTTTCCCATTTACTTGTGTCAATACAGAACGAAGAAAAACCCTAATAATGAAGAGAAAATGAAGTTTAGAGGTTATACTGCTGCGTATCTAACACAACCCTGTAGGCATAATTTGGGGTTTTCAGAAAAATGGGGAAATTGAAAACCCTAAACGGATTTTTCTTTTCTTTTTCTGACTGTTGAAATGACTTCATCGGTGCCTTTGTTTCCCATTTACTTGTGTCAATACAGAACGAAGAAAAACCCTAATAATGAATAGAAAATGAAGTTTAGAGGTTATACTGCTGCGTATCTAACACAACCCTGTAGGCATAATTTGGGGTTTTCAGAAAAATGGGGAAATTGAAAACCCTAAACGGATTTTTCTTTTCTTTTCTTTTTTTAATTTGGAGAAGAATAGAAGGGCTTGTGTGGCGGGTTGTTTATATATGGGAAAGAAAGTGTGAGATTTCCCGCCATATCCTTTTCCCGGGAAGATTTCTACTACAAATTATTCTGTAAATCTTGCAGCTCAAAATTTATTCAGCACTTAATGGCTTGTTTGGGTTTCACCGTAATCAAATATTAATTTTAAGTACAAATTCACTGAAAAAATTATTTACACTAACACAAGGCCTAATTCGTATTTTAGGGACATCGCTTTTTAAGAATTGATTTGTTGATTGATAAGTTTATTGTTTTTTCAGACTATATAATCTTCTAGAAGATGATAATTTCTTAGGGCCTGTTCAATAGTGATTATGAGAATCGATTTTTTTTATTGTTGAGTGAAAAAGTAAAAAATAACGGCTAAAATAATAAAATAGCGGTAAAAAAAATTGATTTTTTTGGATGAAAAATTGCTACCAAATGGGATAGAAAATAGAATACCCTCGCTTTTGACGGGATTCGTTAACTAAAGGCCTGTTTGGAGTCGCTTTTAAAGGAAAAAAGGTATCTTGGACCATTGCAAATCAAAATCAACCATCTTTGTTGACTTTGGCTCTCACATTGGGTCCCACCTAACAACGGTCAAAAAAACGCACATAATTTTTATGAAAAAGCTCCGCCAAACAAGCATTAAGCCACTTTTGGTTACTTGATGCATTAAATTTACCGTGTATAAAGTCGTAATAACTTCTCAAAGTTAATTTGACTTGTGAACTTCAAGCAAATCTTTAAAAAATCAAGATCTTTCTTTTTACTTCCTACCAGGCTCATTCTATCTTGCCTTGAACCCAAATTACCTGTATTTACTCACTCTGCCTCAACCTAGCCCTCTCCCTATCAACATTTCAACTTCACATGCTCCCACTCACCTCCCTATTAGAGCTTATCTTACCTCCTTTCATGTAGTCCAATTGTCTCCATCTCATCTATTTCTCTTTCCTTTTTCCTAATTGTGTGTGCGACAGGTCTCCCCCTCACCTCACCACCAAATTGTCTTCTTTGTGCTTCTTGAATTCCTTGCTTGCTCACATGCACCAAGATAAATGTAGTGTTAATATTAGGATGTGGAATAATTATCTCACACTCCCAATAGAACTTAGTGATTTTTAAAGTAATATGTAATCTCAACTTCCTAACTCTCTTGTCGTTGTCTAACAATTATGTCACGTTCTCAATTGAACTGACTTCCTCTCTTAACCTTTTCTAAATTCCTTTTTTTCATCTCAACAAACAAATAAATTTTTTTACTTAGTGCTTGCTTGGCTAAACTTTTAAGTGCTTATAAGTAGTGAGTCACAAGGGATTTGGTTCAAAATGATGTTTGGCCAGCTTATAACTCTTAAAAGCATTACCAAACATGCACTTAAATTTTCTACTAGAAAATGACGTGGAAATTTGGCAAGAACTTGGATGCTTTGTTCCTTGGCATTCTATAGAGGAATCTAAGGTATCTTAGACTCTCCACAATTGGGGAAAGCTCTTTGAAGTCATCCACACTTTTGTAGATAGTATAATGTTTGCATGAAATGTGTTTACATGTGAAATGTAGCATATAATTTTCTTTCAATTGTTTGGTGGAGGTTTGACTATTGGTCTGGTAACGTTCCAGGTGGTAATTGATTCTTGTTGTGCAACATTTACAGAAGTTAAGCAAAGGGGAAAGGATTTCTGGGCCGACTTTGAATTGTATGCTGTTGATCTATTGGTTGGCATCGTTGTTACATTGCTTTGGTTGGCACCTAATGCTCGTATAGGCAAGTGGTCAATTTCCAGTGGTTTTCTTGGACGTGACAGGGAGCTCTTCCCAGCTGGTGACTCGTGCATCCGTGGGATAGATCACAACTAACTCTTGGAGTCCTCTAGACAAATTCTGCACTAAGTAGTCTTCTCGATGCAGTTTTTTTTCCCTCCTAACCCGTTTCTTGATGGTGCTGAAAGCTAAGTTGTCATTTATATAGAATTGTCGTCTGATTTCATGAGAATGAACAGTGTTTTTGGAAGTTGGAACTACATTTTAAGTTTTAAATTTTAAGACTAAGAGTAGGTTGTATTGTGAGTAAGAAATTTGTAGATTTCAGAAAGATGGATAAAGTGTTCATTGATGGTGAATAACTTCCATATCTGATATATCCTGAGATAGCAGTAATCCTGCTTTGCTTACTTAAATGACTTTTAGGTTAACAACGTTGTTTGATTTGGAGTATTTTAAGAAACAGCAAAGGTATCTTTCCCTGCGGAAGAAAAGGAAAATGTTGGAGAATTGATTTTCCGTTCAATTTTTCATTAGTTTCGGACATAACTTGTAAAAATTGAATCAGATTGCTTGGGATATAATCTTTGCAGGGTTAAAAGACAAAAACGATATTTTTTATTGCATTTACACAATCGTAAGAAAAGATCCGAAGTGAAGAACTCTCTAAAGTTCAATGATCAGATCTCTAATTTACCCAAAAAACTCAGAAAGATCTCTTATTCCTATTAGGACGTAAAAACTCATAACATTGCTAAATAATTGGCTGTTAAATTAGGATTGCGGAAAACATAGTTGACCAAATAAAGACCCTGAAAATTGCAGAAAATCTAGAATTACCATAAAGGATCTGGCTTAAAATTCGATATAAGAGAATGGGTTAGAGCTAAATGTTGAAGATGCTAATATGGTTGAATGAGAAGGTTTCTTTTCAGAAGAAAAACCTTATATTTTCTTTCCCTTGACCATTTTATTATGTGGATCACATCTCTCAAAAATTATTTTACTCTAAAGGTTCTTATCTATTCTGGTAATGAATTTTATTTTCCACTAGGACAACGCTCTTGCCTTTTGGAATATTATTTCATTTCTCTGCTCTTTTTTACTTTTTTATTCATTTTCTCTTTTACATAATGTTTCTCTTATTGTTGTTTACCTACTCTGAGAAAATATTTACATGAAGATCATTGGTGATTTATCTTTGTCTGTTTCAGTATGCATATAACGTTGAGAAGTATTGTGCAACAAATTCTAATTGTCGATATATGTTAGCTAATGTTCTATTGGACACAACTCAATACACTATTCAAAAATGCTTCTTTTTTTTTTTTTTTTTTTTTAATATTTTTAAATTTACCTAAATAATGGCCATAATATTCGTCACTGCAACTTCTCTATGTTAATGGGATTTTTAATCCTAGCTAATCGGAAATCCTATCCTATTTATGTACTAGGTCAATTCAAAGAATATTGAAATACCCCCCAACAAGAACCTTGAGCGGAGAGGAGAAGCAGGATCTCTGGAAATTTCGTTTTTCACTGATGTCTGAAAAGAGGGCTTTGACAAAATTTCTGCGTTGTGTTGAATGGAGTGATGTTCAGGTAAAGTTCCAGCATGTTCCATTTATGTGATGCTTTTAATTTTCCAGTAATATGCACTCATTGTACTAGTTGTCTTGCATCATTTTTCTTTATCCTCCATCTCTCACCGATTGGTAAAAAAAATAAAATTATAATAATTTGTGTTATTGTCAGGAAGCAAAGCAGGCATTAGAACTGATGGGCAAGTGGGAGACAATTGATGTTTCTGATGCACTGGAGCTTCTATCTTCAGTTTTTGAGAGTGAAGAGGTTAGTATTAAAGACACATATTGGCAACTGTGTGCTTCTCTCATTTGACAAATTAAATGTTCTATTTAGATTTTGTTTTCAGCAAATAGCTGATGAATTAGATATCGTAACACGTTGCAAGATATCTGCTTTAAAGCAGGTTAAAGTAGATTCAGATGTTTTCTTGTTAATATTAATACAGGTCAATTTTTTTCTTTGGTTGGCTGAACATACTAAACCAAGAAGTATTGTTAAATTAGTAAGCCGAGTGTTTCAAAATATCACCTCCATTACAGGTCCGTGCATATGCTGTTACTGTTCTTGAAAGAGCTGATGACTCACTAGCGGCAAAAGACACCTAGCCCATTCATTTGGAATGCGGCCAATCTGCACAACATGTCTTCCACATTTTGTTACAATGCAAAACCAATCTAACCCATGTACTTTATAAGAAATTATAGCAGTTCAGATTCTGTTTACCTTTTGAATGACTAGCATTATATGCTAGTTTGCTACATCATACTTAACTAAGTATCTTATTATTTTTCATGTTCACTTCAACTTTCTATTTCCTTTAAATTAAACGTGATGCATTCACAATTAAACATGGAAACATCTACCTAGTGTAGCAAATAAATAACTGGTTACAATTCATATTTTCTTGAAATGCAATTTAATAGAGGACACACATACATTACCTCACCATGAGCTTTAGTTGAAAATCGTACAATTTCTGAGCAAGCTGCTGCTGGCCGGCCACGGCCACCCCCAAACTTCCCAGGTGAGGGTGTCGTCGACTTCCTCTCAACCGGGAATGTGAAATTCACCTCATCACCGGGATTCAAGCTCCTTCCTTTACATGTTGACAGCCCCGCCACCTCAGCGGTTCCCACTAACCACCACTCACTCCCCATTTCTTTCCCCAACGTACTATTACCATTATCATTATCCGCGCCCTCAATTTTTCCACTCCTAGCGTTCAGGTTCCCATTTGAGTTCGAAGCCGAATTAGAATTCCCCACCCTTTTAGCATTGAATTCTAAATTCGACTCAACAGTTGGGGGTTTGGGATTCAAATTGCCGTTGGAGAGCCCAGTTTTTTTAAGGTATTCAGGTTTCTTGAACAGCCTCGGACTATCAAAAATAATGTTAATAGCAGCTGTAGGGTCGTTATTGGCCATGTGGAGGGCTCGGATGATGTCCATGTCGGAAAAATCCAGGCCGACGATCGATCTGACTGTTGAAATGACTTCATCGGTGCCTTTGTTTCCCATTTACTTGTGTCAATACAGAGCGAAGTTGAATAGAAAATGAAGTTTAGAGTTTCTACTGCTGTGTGTCTAACACAATTCTGTAGGCATAATTTGGGGTTTTCAGAAAAATGGGGAAATTGAAAACCCTAAACGGATTTTTCTTTTCTTTTTTTTTTTTAATTTGGAGAAGAATAGAAGGGCTTGTGTGGCGGGTTGTTTATATATGGGAAAGAAAGTGTGAGATTTCCCGCCATATCCTTTTCCCGGGAAGATTTCTACTACAAATTATTCTGTAAATCTTGCAGCTCAAAATTTATTCAGCACTTAATGGCTTGTTTGGGTTTCACCGTAATCAAATATTAATTTTAAGTACAAATTCACTGAAAAAATTATTTACACTAACACAAGGCCTAATTCGTATTTTAGGGACATCGCTTTTTAAGAATTGATTTGTTGATTGATAAGTTTATTGTTTTTTCAGACTATATAATCTTCTAGAAGATGATAATTTCTTAGGGCCTGTTCAATAGTGATTATGAGAATTGATTTTTTTTATTGTTGAGTGAAAAAGTAAAAAATAACGGCTAAAATAATAAAATAGCGGTAAAAAAAATTGATTTTTTTGGATGAAAAATTGCTACCAAATGGGATAGAAAATAGAATACCCTCGCTTTTGACGGGATTCGTTAACTAAAGGCCTGTTTGGAGTCGCTTTTAAAGGAAAAAAGGTATCTTGGACCATTGCAAATCAAAATCAACCATCTTTGTTGACTTTGGCTCTCACATTGGGTCCCACCTAACAACGGTCAAAAAAACGCACATAATTTTTATGAAAAAGCTCCGCCAAACAAGCATTAAGCCACTTTTGGTTACTTGATGCATTAAATTTACCGTGTATAAAGTCGTAATAACTTCTCAAAGTTAATTTGACTTGTGAACTTCAAGCAAATCTTTAAAAAATCAAGATCTTTCTTTTTACTTCCTACCAGGCTCATTCTATCTTGCCTTGAACCCAAATTACCTGTATTTACTCACTCTGCCTCAACCTAGCCCTCTCCCTATCAACATTTCAACTTCACATGCTCCCACTCACCTCCCTATTAGAGCTTATCTTACCTCCTTTCATGTAGTCCAATTGTCTCCATCTCATCTATTTCTCTTTCCTTTTTCCTAATTGTGTGTGCGACAGGTCTCCCCCTCACCTCACCACCAAATTGTCTTCTTTGTGCTTCTTGAATTCCTTGCTTGCTCACATGCACCAAGATAAATGTAGTGTTAATATTAGGATGTGGAATAATTATCTCACACTCCCAATAGAACTTAGTGATTTTTAAAGTAATATGTAATCTCAACTTCCTAACTCTCTTGTCGTTGTCTAACAATTATGTCACGTTCTCAATTGAACTGACTTCCTCTCTTAACCTTTTCTAAATTCCTTTTTTTCATCTCAACAAACAAATAAATTTTTTTACTTAGTGCTTGCTTGGCTAAACTTTTAAGTGCTTATAAGTAGTGAGTCACAAGGGATTTGGTTCAAAATGATGTTTGGCCAGCTTATAACTCTTAAAAGCATTACCAAACATGCACTTAAATTTTCTACTAGAAAATGACGTGGAAATTTGGCAAGAACTTGGATGCTTTGTTCCTTGGCATTCTATAGAGGAATCTAAGGTATCTTAGACTCTCCACAATTGGGGAAAGCTCTTTGAAGTCATCCACACTTTTGTAGATAGTATAATGTTTGCATGAAATGTGTTTACATGTGAAATGTAGCATATAATTTTCTTTCAATTGTTTGGTGGAGGTTTGACTATTGGTCTGGTAACGTTCCAGGTGGTAATTGATTCTTGTTGTGCAACATTTACAGAAGTTAAGCAAAGGGGAAAGGATTTCTGGGCCGACTTTGAATTGTATGCTGTTGATCTATTGGTTGGCATCGTTGTTACATTGCTTTGGTTGGCACCTAATGCTCGTATAGGCAAGTGGTCAATTTCCAGTGGTTTTCTTGGACGTGACAGCATGTTCGAGCTCTTCCCAGCAGGTGACTCATGCATCCGTGGGATAGATCACAACTAACTCTTGGAGTCCTCTAGATAAATTCTGCACTAAGTAGTCTTCTTGATGCAGTTTTTTTTCCCTCCTAACCCGTTTCTTGATGGTGCTGAAAGCTAAGTTGTCATTTATATAGAATTGTCGTCTGATTTCATGAGAATGAACAGTGTTTTTGGAAGTTGGAACAACATTTTAAGTTTTAAATTTTAAGACTAAGAGTAAGTTGTATTGTGGGTAAGAAATTTGTAGATTTCAGAAAGATGGATGAAGTATTCATTGATGGTGAATAACTTCCATATCTGATATATCCTGAGATAGCAGTAATTCTGCTTTGCTTACTTAAATGACTTTTAGGTTAACAACGTTGTTTGATTTGTAGCATTTTAAGAAATAGCGAAGGTATCTTTCCCTGCGAAAGAAAAGGAAGATGTTGGAGAATTGATTTTCCGTTCAATTTTTCATTAGTTTGGGACATAACTTGTAAAAATTGAATCAGATTGCTTAAAAATTGAATCAGATTGCTTAGGATATAATCTTTGCAGGGTTAAAAGACAAAAACGATATTTTTTATTGCATTTACACAATTGTAAGAAAAGGTCCGAAGTGAAGAATTCTCTAAAGTTCAATGATCAGATCTCTAATTTACCCAAAAAACTCATAAAGATCTCTTATTCCTATTAGGACGTAAAAACTCATAACATTGCTAAATAATTGGCTGTTAAATTAGGATTGCGGAAAACATAGTTGACCAAATAAAGACCCTGAAAATTACAGAAAATCTAGAATTACCATAAAGGATCTGGCTTAAAATTCGATATAAGAGAATGGGTTAAAGCTAAATGTTGAAGATGCTAATATGGTTGAATGAGAAGGTTTCTTTTCAGAAGAAAAACCTTATATTTTCTTTCCCTTGACCATTTTATTATGTGGATCACATCTCTCAAAAAGTATTTTACTCTAAAGGTTCTTATCTATTCTGGTAATGAATTTTATTTTCCACGAGGACAACGTGCTGGCCTTTTGGAGTATTATTTCATTTCTCTGCTCTTTTTTTACTTTTTTATTCATTTTCTCTTTTACATAATGTTTCTGTTATTGTTGTTTACCTACTCTCAGGAAATATTTATATGAAGATCCTTGGTGATTTATCATTGTCTGTTTCAGTATGTCATAACCTCCAGAAGTATTGTGCAACAAATTCTGATTGTCGATATATGTTAACTAATGTTCTATTGGACACAACTATTCAATACACTATTTAAAAATGCATTTTTTTTTTTACAAGCATGAAGCTCAAACAAGGGCTAAGGAAATGGGAACAAAAGGAAAGATTTAATGTATTTACTAGCTCGAGAGCTCAATTGGATCTTGTATTTGACATGGGGCCCTCCGACCCCGTGATAGAAAGACTCTTCTTTGGTGAGATATTTCTGAGTATGATAGTGATTTATTTTATTATTTAGTTGAATTCTCCTTATCAAACATGTCATAATGATTTTCCTTTTCTTTTGTCTCAAGTTTGTGTGGACTAGTATTGTTCCACACTAAGATGTTGGGAAATTCATCACGACTTTCATTCATTGATAAATTAATGAAAAAAAAAATTACAAGTTTTCGCTAAAAATTAAAAGAAAATAACAAGTTCTAAGGATTCGTAACGTAACATGTTCCCAAATTTTTTTTGAAAAAAAAAAAGGCAAGATCGACATTTAGAGCCTATTTGACAACCATTATTGTAAAAAAAAAAGAGTTTTGAGTAGTGAAATTTTTGAGAATGTGTGGTTAAAAAGTAGGAAAAAATTTTAACATATGTATAGAATATTTTATTGTACAAATGTGTAGTTAAAAATGATCTTGTAGTAAATCATAAAATAAAATAATGTGTGTCAAACAAGCACTTAGATGAGAATTGCTAAACTAATATTAAGCCAACGACCATCATCCTCAGCACAAATACTGTTAAAACAACCATGTCAAAATCATTGACTGCCTAAACTTTCATATGCTATTTTCAAATGCCATAACTGGGAAAAGCTCTAGTAGCCAGTAGGTACATGTATTCATGACCATGAGGAACCGAGTTTTTTTTTATTTTTTATAATTTTGATGTTTCACAAAAGTACCGAGTTCTTTTATAATTTGGATATTTCACAAAAGTTGTATGTTGGTTTCATATAGCAAACATTTATAAACCCAAAGTACGTAAATATAAATACATGATATGTGAGAAATGATCTCCTGAGCACCTATGACATGATATATCAATTGATTGGTAAGTCAACTTCAAGAACCGAAGCTCAGGATAAGCTTAACAATGGTGCTTAGAAGATCATTTGTCTAGAATATGTACTTCTTTGTTGGGTAAAATTTTGTATTTACCTATATGGAAGCTCTGTAGATGACTGAGCAATCACGATATCCAACTTGCTTTAACAACTGCTTCCTCTAATGATATCCAACTTTTCGGAAGGGGGTTGAGAGAGATTTTTCTTACTACAACACTCAAAACAAAGAGAAACTTTTTCGATGTCTAGAGTGACGGGAGGAAGATTGTGCCTGCTCGACTGACACTCTGGGAGTCGGTGCTGTTCTCTCCAGCACGTCAGGTTCAGCATCTGAAGACCGGGGAAGCAGCTTGCATCCAAGTCTCCTCGAAACAAACCGAGGGGAACTAAGGTAACTATGTGACTTCGTCACCTTTTTCATATCTTGCTTAATTTTAGTGAATTCTTGTTCTAGCTCTCCAACTCGATTTCTCATCCTTTCCATGTTGACTTTTAGAACCTGGTTCTCACGAACAACTCTTACCCACCCATCTTGTTGAACAGGTTGACCAGTTATTTCATTTGGGGTAGTCATTGAAGCCGCAGAGGCTCTTTCAGTATCCAAAACATTCAGGTATCCTGCCAAAGCTTTTCTTAACTGCATTTGTTCGAAGAACAAAACTTGAAGCATAACTCTAAGGGGTAACCTTCCATTTTGGGATGCATGAGCACAAGCATCGATGGAAAGTTTCTGGAAATCAATGATGTTGCAAAGCAGCTCCATCTCTTTCTCTGAGAGCCAGGGATGTGCCTGAATAATTTCATGAAAATTCATCAAAATAAAAAAGCGAGAAGCTTTTTAGCATTTGTTGACGCAAAGACTTCTATAATAATATGTAGAAATGAGATTATATCTTCTATTAAAAATATAAT